ATAGTGCATTAGTTTATGCTAGAGGGATGTACAAAGTTAGGACAATAGGGAGTGATTCATTTGGAAGGAGTAATATACTGGAAGGACTATGTGTGCTGGTACCATCTGGAGATAAGTCCACTCTCTTAGCCATTTCTACCTATTCTGGTTTATCCCTTATGGCCCATATCTGAAGCCATAAATCCCCTCACATTGGCCACGTCTTGAAGCCATTCTAATACTGCAGCATTCATCTGCAATTGAAGATCCTGTTTGACACGCTCTTCTATGCTGGTCTGATAATAGCAGGGAAGATTGTGGTGAGGGTCTTAACAGCAAGGACTAGGTCTGGACACAAATATAAAGTTCATAATACTCTGCCATCTGTATATAACTGGTAGATCTCTCCATTACACAAGCAACAAATCTTGCCTATAACCAAATGTCCTATGTTCCATCCCTTTAATAATCTTAGCCATCTGTCTTTCAGATGGCAGGGAACTAACTTGGTAATGAATAAAATGGAGCAGTTCTCCTAGTAAACATCATTCAGTATTCAGTATTTATACATGTCTTTTGGTTACAATGTCCCCACTTTGATTTTGAATCATAGAATCAAATCTATAGAAAGCAATATTTCAGTTTGAGAAAAAGGAAGCTTACTTGTCTTTGTAGCAACCTATCAACTATTTGAAGGAAAATAAGAATGGAGTGATGTGAGATGTGATTGTAAGGTGTATGTTCACAATCCCCTGCATTTCCAATGTATATAGGTATATGTACATGTACTATTGAAGGGATGTTTGTAAACATTTGATGAATATATGTGTATGAGAAGGGATAAGAGTTACTCATTGCTTGTGTATGCGTGTCTTTTAAAAAAGTGATTGAACCTTTGACTTTGTCTGTGATTGTGTGAGGTGGCAAAAGATTGGTTAAGAGCATTTGCTATTCACCATTTGTGGAGATAAATGTATATATAATAACAACATACGTGTATATACAGGTGCTTTTCTTTCCACATTCTTCTTCATGTAAGTACATGCATATATATCAGTACATACTCAGAAGTGTTCCTATCTTAGGAAACGAGAATTTGTACATTTCTATATCCTTGAATGTATCTATGAGTACGAATTACAGTTTTTGCTTGAATGCTTATTAATTTGATGTGTATCTGCCTTAAAAGATTTTTTTGTCCATAAATATAAACCATTTTTGCACGAACGTGTATGTGTTTCTGTGTGTCAATGTGGATAAGTGTGTGTTTGTGTATTTGTGTGAGGGTATACATATGTCTATATTATGTGTGGACATGAGCAAAGATTATAAAATGTGAGTATCTTTTTATGTATGGCAAGTGTAAATGTCAGGTAATATATGTGCTTCTTGTATACTAATTAAGTATGTAGGAAAGGGCTTTCAAAATTCTGGGAAGGAGCGAACTGTTATGAAAGTTTCCATGCGGTGGCTTAACTATCCCCACAAAAGCCTCACAGGCTTTGTTCAACAGGCACCTATCCCAAACCTCTCTCTGCTTTACCTTCTACCAAACATGTCCACTACCTGACCTGTTTTTACTGAGCAGGTATGTTCCGTGAATGTATGGTATACATGAGGAAACTCTGTTCTCCGGATTGCAAGCCCAGACACTCAGAAGAAGCTCCATCTAGGGGACATTTCAGGCAGAGAGGCAGAGATGCAAGACTCATAAAAGGAGAGAGTGGATCCTAAAAATATGTTGGGAAGAAAAAACTCCACTGCAGGAAAGAATAACATTTTGGAAGATTTACATACAGTGTGCGTGAAGGATGGATGAGGAGGTTTCGAGAAAGGTGATAATTATGAAATAATAAAATTAAGCGGGCATTTCAGAAAGAGGGATCAAATCCAGGAGAAAATTTAGAGAAACAGAATTGCAAAAGCACAAAATAGAAGTGTAAAAGATTTATGAAACACATTTATTTGAACATTTATATAAACCAGGAAGAGGATTCACAACAATGATTACAATAAAAAACCATCTCCTGAGAATGTAGTAGTCCATTGAGGAGGAAGGCATAATAATTGAGAATGACAGGGTTTATATTAGAGAATGTGCCATAGTGTGATAGGAGAGGGTAAATAATCTACCCAAGGCCTATTTAAGAAGTCGTTAGCAGGGGTTCAGGGAAGAAAGGAACAATGCCTTAATAGAAACTTCAAGATATATATGAGGTAAGATGATACAGAGAAGCAAAAGGAAATTCCACTTACAAAATATATATTTTTAAAAGTGTAAAAAGCCATAACACGTACTGAGGAATCACAGTAGTTTCGGAAGGCTAAAGATGCAAGCAGAAATAGACTAGAAATGGGTTAAGTAGTAAAGATTGTCTTGGGCCAGATGGTGAAGGGATTTCTATGACAAAAAGCAGTGGAAAATCAGATGGTTTTAAAGCAAGACACCACAGCCACATTATCAGATTGCAAATTAGAAACAACACTGTGGGATCTGTATGGAGGAAGGATTGGCAGCAGAGAAGCCAATTGAGATAATGCAAAAAAAAAAAAAAAAAAAAAAAAGCCTCAGCTAAAACCAAAGCACCGTTAATAAGGAAAAACATTCGATACAGAAGAAAAATTTGAGGTGTAATAATGGAGCTTACTGAATAACTGATGAATACATATCTTTTCAAAAAAAAATAATAAAGTTTTAGAGTTAAAGCCAAAGTCATTGTTGAATTCTATCCTCAATTCAGTATTAATCCCTTCTCCTCAGCCATTACTACTTCTATCAAATCAATTTAATGCAAATCCTTCCAGGACTATTTTTAGACACTATGTACAAATACAGATATCTGAGAGATAGATATTTTAGGAGACTTTTAAAACACATATGATACCACAATGAATGAATTGCTATGAATCTTTTTTTAACTCAACAATGTATCTTCATTCTTAGCTGTTGAGACTATTATGCATCATATTATCTCTCTGATTAGTTATCGGACCTGATGAGAATTTTGAAGAACTCTACTTTTTTCCTCTTGCAAATAAAAATATTTAATGTCTCTTTATGCATATGAGAGTCTTTCTCTGCAATAGATATTAGATATATCAAGAACTAGAATTGTCGAATCAAGTAAATTTCTTACTTGAATGAGATGTACCAAATTGTTCTCAAAAGGGCTACACAATTTTATAATACTGAGAGCTTTGATTAAGAATAGTGTTTTAATATCTTTTTGAGCACATAATTTTATCCCACATGATGGAGAAGAAATGTTTTATTTAAAATATATATTCTTTTAGTAACCACTGAGATGAATTTTATCATACATTTATTTCGCATTTATATTTATTCTGTATAAATCACTGTTCATATTTTGCCAGAGTTTACATTAGATAGCCCATCTCTTACTTATTTGTGGTTCTTTAAATTTTCTAAATTTAAACTTTTTTCAGTAATGTCAATTCCAAAGATTGTCCTGTTATGGGTCACTCTGTCCCATTCTTTCTCTTATCTTTTAACCTTGTAAATGGTGCAATTGCTATGACATTTTTTTTTTACTGTGAATTTTTTGTCATTGTAAGAAGATTCAACATAAGCTCTAATCTTCTAGCAAAGTTTTAAGTTGTTAGCTATAGACACAACGTTATACAGATTTCTAGAACTTATTCATCTTATATAATTGAAACTTTGTACTCACTGAAAAGTAATTGCCTGTTTCTCCTGTCCCCCAGGCCCTAGCAACCACCATTCTTCCTCCTAAAAATTTGACTATTTGTATACCTCAGATAAGTAGAATCATATAGTATTTACCTTTTTTGTTAACAGGCTTATTTCACGTGACATAGTGTCCTCCAGGTCCATCCATGTTGTACCATATGGCATATTTCCCTCATCTTAAAGGCTGGATAACATTTTTATTGTATGTATATACCATACTTCCTTTATCCATTCATCCATTGATGGTCATTTATGTTGTTTCCATATCTTGGCTATTGCGAATTATGCCACAATGGACATGGGACATCAACATAGAGATTTCTAGGATGAGATGAGTATAGAATAATCTGGGGATTTATTCATGATTCATCAGTTTATGGAGTTTAGTTGAAGTCATGAAAGCAGATAAGACCACTAAGGAAAAAGAAGAGAGTCAAATAAATATCTCTCAAAAATACCAATGTATAAATTGAATGGGGCACAGGAAGGTGCACTATGAAGTTAAATTATGAGAGGTAGACTTAAAAAGAAAAATACACAATGGAATATACATATAATATATTATTGAATTGTACACTTGAATGCTACATGATTTTATGAATCAGTGTCACCCCCAATAAATTTAATAATAAAAAATAAAAAACACCACATCCACTCCACCTTGTCTTACCAAACAAGCATTGTATCAAAAGGAAAGTAGTTCTTCTCAACTCAATATCACTGAAATTCCAGCAAGACTCTTGATGTTGTTGTTGTTGTTTAGTATGTTCTCTTATTTTGTGAAACATAACAAAGGATTACATAATAGTAAATAAATAAATAAACAAACAAGCAAATAAATAATAAGAAAAAAGTGGATTCATATAGTGAAATCTCATTGAGAAATAAATCAGTTTAGGAGAGCTTCTCGATTTAGTAATAAAGGGCTAATTGATGACATTAATGAGGACTATTAACGTGAACTGAAATGTGAGTGTGCTAAGGCAACACATAATTCATATGGCCTGAGATTTGGAGACACAGAAAAAGTACTTACAGAAGTGTAAATCCTCTTCCAGGTGTCCGCATTAAGAAAGAGAAATAAGTTAGGAAATGTTACATGGAAAAGCAGAGTTAAATGATTATGGAAAAACAATATAAAGAAACAGCTTTGAGGACAGCTATAGGAAAAACTCCAAGGTAAGGGATGACTATGGCATAGATATTAGAATGTATGTATGTGGGGGAAGGTAACGTGTATGTGTATGTGGGTCTGGGGAGAGTAGGGGAGGGAAAAGGCAGAAGCTTTTAGAAAGCATCACATAAATATGTCATAAGATTAAGTAAGTCTTTCTAACCAATTTTCAGATTCCAGAGTTCAAAGTGGGATCCTGAACTATGTCAACATTCCTCATGCAGGCAGCCCCCAATGGCAGCACTTCAATGGCCCCCACTTTCCTGTTGGTGGGCATGCCGGGCCTGTCAGCTGTACCCTCCTGGTGGACGATACCCCTCGTCGCTGTCTATCTTCTCTCTGTTCTGGGCAACAGTACTATCCTCTGGATCATTGCCCTGGAGCCCACCCTGCACTGCCCAATGTACTCCTTCCTCTTCCTGCTTAGTGTGTCTGATGTTGGCTTGGCCACAGCCCTGATGCCCACCCTGCTGGGTCTTGCACTTGCTGATGCCCATGCGGTCCCTGCCTCAGCCTGCCTCCTACAAATGTTCTTTGTCCACGTCTTTTCCATCATGGAGTCCTCTGTCTTGCTCGCCATGGCCTTAGATCGGGCACTGGCCATCTGCCGCCCTCTTCACTACTCAACACTCCTCACTAATGATGTCATTAGCAAGATCAGCCTGGCCATTGCTTTTCGATGTCTGGGTCTCCATCTGCCCTTGCCATTCCTCCTGGCCCACATGCCCTACTGCCACCCACAGGTCCTGACACATTCTTATTGTTTGCATCCAGATATGGCCCGATTGGCCTGCCCAGGAGCATGGGGTGCAGTCTACAGCCTCTTCGTGGTCCTGTCAGCCATGGGATTAGACCCTTTGGTTATTTTCTTCTCCTATGGGCTAATTGGTAGGGTATTGCAAGGTTTGGGATCCAGTGAGAATCGCCGGAAGGCTGGCCAAACCTGTGCTGCCCATCTCTCTGCTGTGCTCCTCTTCTACATGCCCATGATCCTCCTGGCACTCATTGACCATCTTAGGGTGCCAATCCCTCAGCCTGCCCATACTCTTCTCTCTTATGTTCACTTCCTCCTTCCTCCATTGATAAACCCTATTCTCTACAGTATCAAGCTGAAAGAGATCAGAGAAAGAATACTCAAGAGGTTGCTGCCCAGAAAGGGGGTTGCGGCTCAATGAGGAGGATTCCTTTTCACCTTTGGTAGTTCAAGGCTACCTGATACAAAGTTGTCCATGTGTGAAATGTCATTCAGGTACACAGAACCATATACGCATGGTTGTATATGCCTATTCCTAGATGTGTGCATGTGTATACTGATGAAAGCTTATGAACCCCAGAGAATGACAGTGGTCTACCCATTTTTACACTACAATCAATGGCATTGAAAGGGTCAGAATCTAGGTCTTGTCACAATCATCCAAGTATGTGTCTGTCATTCTTTAGTTTTTTGTTAATTTCTACATTACATTTATATTCTAATAACTTACAAAGTTGGAGAAGTTAAACAACTATGCAACAAAGGAAAAGAAGAAAGAACCATTCTACTCAACTGAATTGAAGACCTTTAACTAGTGCTGTCCTTGCATAAGAAGTAGAGATTCTGATTTACTGATAGAGATTGAATGAATGAGGAGGACACAAGTAAGTATCTCATTTAGACTCTTGACTTCAAGAGGTATGTTATACAGCTCCAATCAGTCCAGGAAAAAGGAGAGGAAAAGTAAACTTGTTTCCACCCTTCAATTGGTTTTCAAAATATTAGTATAATTTTTTAATGTATATGCATGTTTATGATTAAAATTTCAAATAATTCAGAAAAATAAAACAAGTAAAATCATCCAAATGTAACCATCATTATCATTTTAGTGAACACTAATAAATGTAAAGTTTTATATAAATGGAATTTTACACATGGTAGATGAAATAGTTGGTCTTAATTCCTAGTAGTAGTATTGTATACCCATCCCCACATCATGGGAGTCACAGTAGGCAAGCTATACTTTTACTTTTAGCTTGGACACATGACTTGCTCTGATCAATGCAATCCATATGATTTGCTTTGGTCAATAAGATGTTAGTGGATGTGATAAGAGCAAGAGCCTAAGTGTGACTTTTGCAATGGAATTTCTTCCTTTGCTGTGAATAGTGCTTAGCTCAGGTAAGTACTGCCCCTTCTACCTGCTCTCCAAAATGAGACACATGGTGCAATCCTAAACCAAACCTATAGCCCAGAGTCAGTCCTAGCCAACTAGAGACCCAAAGGAGAGCCATCAAGTCAAAACAGCCTAAATCAAGAGGACTCCTGTCAACCTGATGATCAGTAAGCATTACGATAAATTCTATACTTGTAGGCAACTGAGATTTGTGATTATATGTAGCAAAAATGTAATAGCACAGTATAATTGCAGTTTTATTCTATAAACATGGTTAATTTCCTAATGATTTTCTCTTTACGATCTTTGAATTATTAATAAACACATAACATTCTACACGTTTTGTTTTTCTTATGGTAGAAATCCTTCCAAGTAAATAAGTATGGATATAATTCATTTAAGGACTATATAATATTTTGTGGCATGGATAGACTGCAATCAATTTAACTATTTCCTAGTAATACATATTAAAGTTGTCTTCAGTTTTATATCACTCCAAACAATGCTGTAATAGGCATTCTTATGCAGCTCTCCATGTGTACTTATGCTTTTGTTTCTATAAGACTGATCTCCAGGTCATCAGCAGCTGGTTTCGAAGGGTTATACATTTTTAATTTCAATGTGTATTGGTAGATCCCGTTCCCTACAGACCTTATCAATTTATATTTCTACCCTATGTAGGAGTGTGCCTTTTTCTTGCATATCCACCATAATTCAGTTACCATTATTTTTAAATTTTCATCTATTTTATTAATGAGAATTATCACATTTAACTTTATGTTGAATTTCCCTAATAGTAAGAATAAGCATCTTTCACATGTCTATTGTTTATTTTGTTTCCTTCTCTATGAATAGCCTCTTCAAATAGCATTCATCCATTTTTCTATTGTATTGTTTATGTTTTAAATACAAATTTGCAAGAGATCCTAGTTATATTCCTTTACAAATATAGTATTTATATTTAGCCTTATTCAAACCGTCAAATCTCAAGCACATACAGTTTTATGTAACCAAATCAATCTTTATTTTTTTAATAATTTGGGTGTTTCATATATTGCCTAAAAAAAGTATCTTTGACTCATCTATGTTCTACATATAGTCTCATGCTTTACTTCTAAAATTGCTACAATAGTTTTAATTTTAAATATTTCTGTGTCAGAAGTTCAAACTTATATTAATCAAAATGAATATGTACTAGTGGCAAAATCTATTAAATACATTCTCTTTTCTCACTGAAATAAAATACTATATATGTATGTTGTCTTTAAATGTATATGTGTGTGTGTGTGTTTGTATATATATATATATATATATATATATACACACACACATATGTATGTACATTGCTTTACAGATACCCTTATGGATTTTGATATATATGTATCATGTATGTAATCACATATCACTGACCTATTAGAGTAGTCTCCTAGTGTGATTTTGTTAATATGTTGTTAAAAATGATTTCTCTCTTGTAAAACAAATATGAGCTTTGGAATTCTAAGAATTACAATGTTTTTATAGATTAAATGTAAAACAATCAATTGTGATAAAAAAAATTTTACATCCAATAATATATGATAAATGTTTTATTTATTAATATCTTTTTTACATTTTAATAAAATTATTAGTTTAATTAAATTTATTTCCATATTTTAAATGTATGATTTTGTTGCTATTATAAGTAAAATTTCCCCATTTCTATTTCCACATACATATTGCTAGATAAAAACATTTTAATCTTGCATTCATATATACCTTACTAAATTATCATATTCATTATAGTAGTTTTTATAATATTTTATTTTATTTGTATGCAACATATATAAATAAAAATTGATGGTTGGTAACATTTTCCAAATAGTCATACAAATTATCTCATGTTATTTTATTTAATTCACTAGAATTTCCAACCCATTATGAAAGATTAAGTGTGAAAGTGAACATTCAAATCTTGTTTCTCATTTTAATAGAAAGTACAGTAGTGTTTCACTTATTAGAACAATGGTTGGCTGCTAGATCTTTGGGTAAATTTTATAACATTTATGTAATTCAGTTATATTTCATTTTAATTTTTTAATAAAAATACATAATGAATCCTGACAAATGCTTTTTCAGCATCCACTAATATATTCATAATTATCTGCTTTAATGCGTTGAAAAATTTTCTGATATTGAAACATCCTTGTTCTCATGTGATTATAGAAGAATGCATTTTAAATGAAAAATAGCAAATGTCAAAACAAAAACACACAATGTCAAATGTCAAAACAAAAACACACAATGATATGTCAGTATACATTCCAGGAACTCAGGATTAGTTATATTCTCCTATTATATCAAGTTTCTCTGAAAGGTATATTATATATTCTCTTATTAAACTAATTAGATATTAGTCTATTTCACAAGTGATAATACTGAGGCTGATCATTTTAGAATGCCTCAGGTCTATAAAATTAGAGAGACAATCTTTATTTTCAGATTGGCCTAATCCAAAGCCCCTACTATAAAACATTCTTTTAAAATTGAACAGAGACTCCCCTTAACCCCTACTACCTTCTCCTCCTTTCTTCTCTCAGGATCAAATATTTGGTGGTGGAAGGAAATTTAACTTTGAGTGGTGAACACACAATGCAATATACATATAACGTATTATTGAATTGTACACTTGAAACATTTGATTTTATTAACCAATGTCACCTTAATAATTTTAATTAAAAAATAGCAGAAAAGATTAAACAGAGGAACAGCTTGATCTAGAGGCAACAGCATTGACGTCTCTGAGAAACCTTGCTTTCCCTAAGTCTATCTTTTCCTCCTTCCTAGTACCCGCACCTCCAGCTTTCCATGTATTTACTGAGAGTAGAACAATATGAACAGAGTCCCTCAGACCTGAGTTTGAATTCTCAGTCTAGTACTTCCTGTGTGATTTGGTGTCCATTGTTTCCATGTTTGTAAACTAGGTGTAATGAGTACTGCGTGAATCAAGTCCCTTTATCACAGTGTGCGAACATATGAGGTATTTGATAGATGGTAGCTACAATCTGTTTTCTCTTTTCACAGAAACTTCCAGAATTATTATTTGTTCTCTAATATGTGTTACACTCTGTTATGCCAACTATGTTACCAGATGTGATACTTTTTCTGTAGATCATTCTTTTAGTTCAAGTTGATATACATCTACCAAGCACAAACTCTGGATAAGTTACTTTATTGTGAGGAGGCTTTTAAAATTGAATGATTCAAAGCACTTTCCTTATGGAATTCACAAAATAATCAGTGAGAGAGAGATATATGATGTTTCAGATGTCCATGGGTCTCCATGCACTGTGTTCCAAGGACCCAGCCTCCTATCTTTACCAAAAATGCTGAAAATGCCAATGCTCAGCTATAATTTCCTCCCACAATTTTCCCAAAAGTTGCCTTCAGCGAAAAACACACTCTCTTGGTTTTCCTTTTACATTGCCCCAGTAAAGTATTTTTCAAATATTAATATACACACCTATTATCTAGGATCTTGTTAAAATGCAGATTCCGACTGAATAGGCTGACAGAGCTTCTGCAATTCTAATTACTTCCCAGGTGATGCTGCTGATCAATGTACCACACTTCGAGTAGCAAGGAAGAAAATATACTTAGACAAACTTAGATACATTGTAAAGGGCTTAATATGAATCGCAATGAGGAATCAAGTAAAGGGAGGCAAATATAAAGATGTTAATTGGTTCCAGAACCTTGCAGAGTTTTCCCAGTCATAGTTCAGGGCCACTCTTCCTAACACCTCCTTAGAAGCTTCTCTAAATCTTCGCTTTTCATTCTTATACCTGAAATGGACATCACCAGTCCCCCAAAGAGCAGGACCCCTACCTACTTCATGAAATGCAAGCCTCTTCTTTCTTAAAAGCACAAAAGCTGTGGTGTATTAGATTCCTGATAAGGATTGGTTAATTAACTATGTAACTAATTGATGTAACTCAGAAACTATGAAATAAAAATTCTCTTAGGTGTATTTACTGACCACAGCTAAGATCAGTTGTCAGTTAAATTAAATATAGTCAATGGAAATATCTCCTATTTGGAAGACATATTGTCCTTCTCCTAAGACAATTTTCTGTTGAGAAAAAGGAAACTTTCACCTTTGCCCCATCATTTAGACTTCAGACCCAGTTTTCCCAGAACCTTCACTCTAATCTGCCTAGTTTTTACACAGTACACAATGGGATTCATCAAGGGTGGTACCAGCAAGAATGCATCAGCTATGAGAATCATTGCCAAAGGGGATTTATGCTTGGCAAAGCGATGCATAGTAGCTAAGGTGATGATGGGCACATAGAAGATGAGCACAGCACAGATGTGGGACACACAGGTGTTAAGAGCTTTAAGCCTCTCCCCATGAGATGCAATACCTAAAACAGTCTTCAGGATGAACACATAGGAAATAGCAATGAACACACTGTCTGACATCATGCAGAGAGCAACAAATAGGCCATAGTAAAAGTTAACCCTATTGTCAGAGCAGGCCAGTTTCATAACATCTTGGTGGAGGCAGTAGGAATGTGATAACAGGCATTTATTACAGTATCTGAGTCTCTTTAAAGTGAAAGGAAGGGGAAGAACTAGGAGAATGCTTTTAACAGCAAATGACAGCCCAATTTGCAAAACTCTGGAGCTAGTGAGGATGGAACTGTATCTCAGGGGATTGCGAATGGCTACAAAGCGATCAAAAGACATGATCAGGAGCACCGAGGACTCCATATCTGTGAATCCATGTATGAAAAACTCCTGGGCAAAGCATGCATCAGCAGAAATCCCGACAGTATTGAATAAGAAGATCCTCAACATGGTGGGAAGAGAAGAGAAAGAAAGACCCAGGTCAGATAGGGCCAGCATGGAGAGGAAATAGTACATGGGCTCCTGCAGGGAAGGCTCTGTCTTGATGACAAATAAGATGGTGCAGTTGCCCAGGATGGCCAGGAAGTACATGAGGCAGATAGGGATGGAGATCCAAATGTACATATGCTCAAGCCCTGGGATTCCAATCAACAGGAATGTGGAGATTTCAACTTCTGAGGTGTTGAGAGGAAACATCGTAAATGGATCTCTTGTCTACATGCTCCTGGTACATAGTAACATCAATAACAAAAAACTTTTTTTAGTTGTATTTCCTGACCACAACTAAGTTCAGTTGTCAGTTGAATTAAATATAGATCATGCTTAGTGTCAAGAAATAATGTAATATAACTTTTTCTATATAAAGAAAAATACAAAGTTGATTTAAACAATTTTTTATTATATTCATATAAGACCTTTATATTCTTCAAGTCCATCTTTATTTCTTGATTTATTTCTAAACTCTATAACCTAGAAGTAATAAGGTGTTTTAATAAATTTTTTAAAACTACCACTTCGTAAGCTTAATTCATCAAGTAAACTAAGTCAGAATATATGACAACCTGGAAAAGCTCTAACATCCTGCTTGTGGTCCACAGTCATGTATTCAGACAAACCACAGATGCTATAGTAGCAGGAGTTAAAGGAAGCTTAATCTTACATTATTGTACATGGTACATGAGTGTGAAAATATAAAATTTATCTACTTTAGAGGTTGGCAAACTATGATGCAGAGCCAAATTCAGCCCATGGCCTGTTTTTGTATAATCTGCGGGGTTTCTTAAAATGTTTTTTAATCATATTTTTAAAAAAAGAAGGAAAAGCATATGTGACAGCAACAATTTATGGCCTGAAAAATCTAAAATATTTGCTTTCTTACCATTTACAGAAAAGGTTTGTTGACTCCTGGAAAGAAAATTATGCATACAAGCATGTGTTTATACACACACACACACACACACACACACACACACACACACACACGGTACAACAAGTATGGTGGGAATGGAGTATGGGTCAAAAAAAGAACTTCAAATTTAAGAGTAATATTTTATTTTTTAATTAACAAAAACAATACTAGATACAGCAAATATGTAAATGTTTCAATTTGTCCGTCAGAATTATGAAAACACAGGTGTTATTCTCTATATTTTTCTACATTCTTTCAATTCTTCTCTCCCCTCCTAATTGTCTTACACAGCACCACTTCCAGAAACAAAAACTCAGAGAGATCTCCAGTACTGAATATCATTTTCCTGAACTTGACAATAGCCTGAGACAGGGCAGTGTGCAGTGGTGGGAGCATAGTGGAAAGACTCCTAACACCAGCTATCATGTCCCAGGTGAACAACCAGTTAGAAGACCACAGTAAGTGTTGAGTAGGCAATGGCCAGGCACTAGCATTTCTCTTTTCATGGGAAGTTTATGAGCATTTCTGGGCAATGGTAAAGAAAGAAGAGGTTGCATCCAGATAGAAGAAATAACAGGGCAAAGGGTGTTTTATCTCTGCTGCCAAAATTTAATGACCTTTGCCTCAAATAAACTCAAGATCGGAGTGATGGAGAATTTTAGTGGTATGTATGGGTGTGTCATATGGAGAAGGATAATGGTGAAGCTGGATGAGGAGAACATATTTTCTACTCATAGTACTGAGTATCCATGTTGTCTCAGCCTTTCAACTGTGGTTAATGTTCTCTTGACATGCAGCACACACCAGTTGTCATTTGTAGGTGCTTAAAGCACTCACGTAATTTCCATGCAATTGCTACTGGCTCTATTCAGAATGATCACAGCCCTTGCCTTTGTCTCCCTGCTCTTGAATTTTTTCCCATTGCTCTTGGTTTCGCTGTGTCTACCAGTTATATTGGTCATCAATTCAGGTTATCGCTGGTATTTTGACTAAATCTTGTTCACATCCACACCAGTTTCACTGATACCTCGGATAACTCTCCTTTTAGCAGTTCGAGACCATAAAAGCCCCAATCATGCAGCTGACAGTGTACTCTTGTCAGAGAAGTGGGATTCAGACAGAGGGAGAAAAATAATAACATAATGTCTGTTCTTGTTCAATGGGTCCCCTTAAAATGGATCATTTCCAAGATTCCATGTCTGAAGCCTTTCTTGACAAGCTTCCAACCTAACTCAGCTAACTAAAGAAATTATTTACTGTTGACAACATTGTTTTTTTTTCAACTATATTCATCATGCATATACAAATATGTACAACATCCCACATATGGACCCTGATCTTTTCAACTATCAATGTAGCATGATCCCTTAGGCTGGACAACTCATGAAGCCTTTTTAGGCATAGAATTGATCTTTACAAATTGCAATGTTTTCGTTGGGAAACATAAAATCATCTTAGGGAAATTCAGTTTGAGTCTCTAGGACACCTACCAGGCTCTTGGTTGCCTTTGTCTGGAGCAAGAGTGGAGAAGTTTCAGATCGTTCAGGTTCTGCAGCTTCTCTGTTCCAGCACTTTGTTGGGAATCCGTATCCTCCTTTATACTCTCATTCTCCTCTCTAGTACAGGCATATTCTCCTAAGAATTAACAAACACCTCATCCCCTGGCAACGATGATTCCACTTACTTCACCATTGTCTGTCAATAAGAGGTTCTCTTAAGAAAATGCAGAGAGCAAGCTCTGACTCACAGTCACAGATTTAATTCTTGTTACCCTGTTCCCACATCAGGCACAGGCTTTGGAGAGATCCAGTCTCAGACATTGATAAAGCAGCCTATATCCAGCTGTGCCTCCAAGATTAAGCCATAGTAGACTCGATCTAAGACTATTACAGACATATGCAATTCTGACTAGAGATATGTTCTGTTTGGTCATCACAACGTCTAATTTTATTTTTAATGTCAATAGATTTAGATGGGTCACAAGCTCTCAAATTTACCATAGAGGTCTTCTTTCTTCATTGTTTTACATCCAGTCTTTTCACATTTATTGACCACTGAAGGCATTTAATCTCACAGAACAGAAAGTAAAGCCCAGGATCACAAGCATTCCAGGTATCTTGGACTCTCGGGTTAAGAAAAGGATATCCATTTTTATTCAGCCCTCAATTTTAAAGATTGGAAATAAATAAAAAGTATAATTCTAGTGGCATTTTGTAGAAAGACATATATTTTTCAGACAGGGAGTAGAAAATAAAATCTAGCAAAACAACTTAGGCCTATAACAAAATAAGAACAGATAAATGAATCAACATGATAAGCCAACAATTATGACTCTGTTTTCATGTTAATACAATAGGGGATGTGCTGGAAGTGAGGGCTGCAGTCAACAAATTAGGTCAGGCAGAACACTGTAGAAAAGAGATCTATAAACTATCAATTTTGATTTTTCACATTCCAAAAAAATTGACATAGCATATAATCTCTCACTGACAATGAGATAACAAATGGGCAACCAAACATGTCATCGTGTTCTTTTTGGGTTAAAGTATAAGATTATTGAGGCAACATGATCAATGGAATTCTGAACAAAGCTTATCTTAACTTTTAACGTTCAGCTAACAACAGCAGTAACTGATTCTCACCACTTGATATGGCATTGTGTCTTTACACTGAATATTCCCCTACACATAACAAAAGACAAAATAACTTCACTTACGTAAGATCCAATGTTGAATTATATTAATGTGTATTTTAGGATTCACCCTATAGGATGGCTGTATTTGAAGAATGCTGAAAATCAAGAGTTTTAAGAAAAAAAATCTAATTAATTGAAGTGCTTTTAGTATATCATTCAGAAAAGAACAACTGACTTATTAATAATTTTTTCTACAATAAATCTGGACTTTTAGAATCATAATTAATGAATATTTTTTGAGGTGTCCTAGTGCAAATATTAATAGTTGTTTACATGCAAATATTAATAGTTGTTTAAATGCATTATCTCACAAAATTATAACTTAGGTGGTATTAATATGGACTTACAGAGAAGGAAATGAACTAAGCAAATATTATATGACCAATAAGTTGCCTAGTTTGAACAGTTGGAGACATATCTCAGCACTTTAGGGACAACTACCCCATTCTACCAAAGCGCTCATTCATAAATGGCTTTATCTCTACTCTGAGATAACTAATGGTTAGATTTGGAGATGCTTCTGAGTTAAGATCTTGACAATAACCTTTCGAATCTGCTTAGTCTTCACACTGTAGATGATAGGGTTGACCATAGGAGGGATGAGCAGGAAGGCATTGGCCATGATGGTGTGGACGAATGGAGGTGCTGAATGTCCATAGCGATGGACAAGAGACAAGGTGATAAGAGGGATGTAGAAGATGGCAACAGCACTGATGTGGGATATGCAAGTATTGAAGGCTTTCTGCTGCCCCTCTGAGGAAGCAATGTTGAGGACAGATCGGATGATCAGGACATAGGAAAGCAAGATGCAAGGACAGTCAAATCCTGTCGTGGAAAAGAGTGCAAACAGGCCAAGGATGCTGTTGATTCTGTTGTCTGTGCATGAGAGTTGAATAAGATCAACGTGGTAGCAGTAAGAATGTGAAAGGACCATAGAACCACAGAAGGACAGCCTCTTGACCAAGAGCACAACTGGCAACATGACAGCCACATTCCTTATCAACATACTCACTCCAATATGGGCAATCCTGGCATTGGTGAGGATGGTGGTGTATCTTAGTGGATTGCAGATGGCCACAAAACGATCAAAGGCCATGGCCAGCAAAACTCCAGATTCCATGAAAGTAAATGCATGGAGAAAGAACATCTGAGCAATGCAAGCATTTAGGTTGATCTCTTGGGTTTCGAACCAGAACACAGCAAGAGTGGTGGAAAGTGTACACAGGGACAAGCTCAGGTCTGTGGCTGACAGCATAGAGAGGAAATAATACATGGGCTCATGGAGACTCTGCTCATAGAGGACCACAAACAGGATCATGCTGTTCCCAGACAGGGCGATGACATACACGAGACAAAAAGGAATGGAGATCCACACCTGGGCTGCTGTCAGTCCTGGGATACCCATCAAGAGGAACATCAGAGGCTGAGCATTGGTATTATTGAGGACCAACATAATGAGGGACTGAGAAGACAGTGATATTTGAATAATTGAACATAACACATAATGAACATATAGCTTATCACTTAGAACATCTTTCTTGCACCCTGAGATTCACTGAATTACTATTGCTGATTCTCCAAGAACTTTAATAT